AGAGAGAGAGAGAGAGAGAGAGAGAGAGAGAGAGAGAGAGAGAGAGAGAGAGAGAGAGAGAGAGAGAGAGAGAGAGAGTCGGGGACGATGTATGCACAATAGCAAGACAGGTGATGATGGATACCTCTCTATGAGAATCGATGCTCTGGTAGAGCTGAGCAGCCTGAACAAAATGCCCCAGATCAATCAGACGCTTCGAGACCATAGCAACCACTTCTGGAATCTTCTCAGGTGCATTGTTCATGGCTAGTTTCACTGCCATGTCCCATACCTGGGCATCCATCAGTTGACAGTCACCAGTTCGTTAGAAATTAAAGAGTACTGACGATATTCTGCTGCTAAGGCTGGATATTGGGAAGGGAAAACCTCCAGGAAATGAAAGGTACTGAAGATTTCTGTCACAAAGACTTGATCTTGGTGAAGGGATACCGCCATTTCTCTTTTTTTTTTTTTTTTTTTTGGGACCATTTCTCGATTTATGCGTGTCATCCTTGCATAGGGGCCATGCTAATCTTCTCTGTATCGTTCCAATTCTAACGGATGTCCCGAAGGACTTGGATACCTCCATTTCTAACTGAGTCAAAGTGAACACATCTTGATTCTTCAATAATGTACATTGTTTGCCCATACACACCTCTGCCACAGTCATCAGAGAAGCAGTCTTTCAGTGAACAAACAAAACTGACAACATCCTAGGTCAGTCAGGAATCCATCTGACCAATGAAGATGCGATCCTCAATTCAGCATTTCATCCAACACAGTACCCGTGGGACAGAATAGTCGTCAGTGGCAATGCAGCACCAGAACACAGGTCAGACAGGGCATGGTTGCAAGTAATGGCAACTGGCCAGTACATTTGTGACTCTCATAAGGAAAATGTTGCTCAAAGAGGGTTCCACAATGGCGATGACAGAGGTTATGGGACTTCTTGAGGACCATGGATAGGACTCTGCAAAGGACAGGGAATTGGGCTCATTCAAGGGCATGGGTCAGGAATAAGGTCGTCATTTGAGACACCTATTCAAAATGGAACAACACATGAAGATTAGCATGGCCCCTTCATAAGGATGGTACGCAGTACTACGCACGCATCAGGAAATGATCTGGGCTTTTCTTTTTTGGTCAATAGGAAAGGACAAGAAAAAGATTCAGGACATCCATTAACCTTTGAACGATATGAGGTCGCGGCCTAGTTGGTTGAGCACGTAAGTGGCATTCAGGAGGACGAGGGTTCGATTCGGCATCATGTCGCCTCCCCACAACCTCTGTGGCGCACTTCGGGCTCGCGCCCCCTGGTAGGACTTGTTAGGGGTAAGATGTGCGCAACCCGTAACCCTAAGTAGTTTACTTCCCGCCATTAGATTAACTAGACTATCCTGGTCCCTATAGCTTAGCTCTGGTCAGTAAATCAACTAGGCTAAGTAGTGCTTGACCCTAAGGCCCTGTCAAGGCCGAGTGTGATGGATGATTAGCTAGTGTAAGGCAATTCAGAGAAGAGAATATAGTAGTCCCTCATATGAGGAGAAGACAGCTTACAAAAAAGAAGAAGAAGAAGAAGAAGAAGAAGAATGATATTGTCCTTCGGGACATCTGTTAAAATTGGACTGATACAGAGAAGGTTAGCATGGCCCTTGCGTAAGGATGACAAGTATACATCAAGAAATGGTCCAAATTGATTGAAGAAAAAGAAAAGGAACGGTACAGAGATGATTGGCATGGGCCCTGCACAAAGATGAACCACTTGTACTTCGGGACATCTGCTAAAATTGGAACAATACAGAGAAGATGAACCATTTTTTCAAAAAAAAAGAAAAAAGAAAAAAAAAGAAAAAAAAAGAAAAGAAGATCAGGAACGAGGTTCCAATGACCAGGTTTGGGGCTCCTTCAAGGGCCAGGAATGGGAATCCTTGAAGGGCCAGGAATTGGCTTCCCTCAAGGACCCAGGCTGTCTTCCAAGCGGAGTGCCACCCCTGCAAGGATATAGGAGAGACTTCCCCAAAAGCACAGATGAGACCTTTCCACGGACAAGGAAGAGAACTTCAGGGATGGCACAAGAGAAGGGAGATGCTAAGGGCCACCATTCACAGTTACATGACCGTAGCTGAGGCTCAGTCAAGGACCAGCCTGATGATGATACTGTTGCAGTAGTAGCAACAGAACTGCATCGGACTCCTCCAGGAACCGAGGCGGGGACTTGACTAAGGGCCAGGAAAGGGAGCTCAACTTCAAGGACAAGCAATTACACTCTGAGGATAAGGACAGGGCAGCTTCCACCCAAACGTGATCTTACGTGTTGCAAATAGTCCACATCCGCTGTGTTCTCTTTGGTCATTCGAAGGTATGCATCTATAGCATGCGAAAAATCACGGCTCCGCTCAAATGCCTTCGCATGTGCAATAATGCTCTCCGTGGTGTCCTGGCCGTTGTTCTCACTGATTCAGACCGGAAGCAAGTGAAATCACAACAGGTAACCATTTGAGATGCATTAGCAGTGGAAAAGGTTGTATGCAGGTGGCTTGCTCAGTGAGTGATCAAGTAAGCTCAGGCAGGCAGTTCGGTAGGTGGTTGCTAAGGGGTAAGTACGTAGGACGACGGCTACAAAACAGAGGTCGGCCTCTTGGGCAGGAGGGCATGTGGGTATCCACTGGCCTAGGTAGGTAGGAGGCTGTGTAGAACTATCATGACGCAGGTGGGTGCAAGGGGAGGGCTATTTGCAGTTGCACTTCGGAAGTGGAGGGATGCTCTCACCCTGTTGCTGCCGTAACCATTTGGGAACTCCACCCCCATGGAAATGTCTACCGGATAGCATGGTTTTCATTACTAGAGAGTACCATCATCTAGGTACTTAAGCCAGCACCCATTTTTTCGTTTCTGGACCCTGAGACTGGGCCGTTACCTGGCCAGGGAACCATTTTCATTTCACTCCTGCCAAACCTGCCCCGGGGCTGTTTTCCAGGTGTGGTTAGGGCCTACCGGTTACCAACTGGGACTTTTCTTGGTGTCGCAGCAAGGGTTGTGACTAAGACCACCAATCCATCCAAGCCTCTTTGTACCCTCCCAGATTGCTGCTGGCTGGGCTCACCCTATTGTTGCCATAACCATTTGGGAACTCTGTCCCCATGGAAGTTACTGTCGGATGGCACTGTGATCGTTGCAAGTGAATACCATAATCGTAGGCATTTAAACCACCGCCTGGCTACCAGCCGGGTCATCCGGCCTGCCTCTGGCTGGCGTGGGTGGCGTGAGCGGGCCAGGTCTGGGCAAGATCCCGGTCAAGGTCCCAGACCAACCCAGCGCAAAAAGACACAAACCCAAAAAATATCAAAAAAATCTGGAAAACAAAAACTATGTTATGCAGATGTGCAAATCAAACAACTTTTGGCTGAGGGTCATTCCGAAATTCGTCACAGATTTGAAAATAAAAGATAATCTGATAAAATGAAAAGATTTATTTATCTCACACTCCAATGAGCCCGACAATCATGAGAACTTCCAACACGCTCAAGCAAGTAGTCACAGTGCACTCAAAATGGAACCAGTCGCAGTCGGGTAGTACTCCATATAGTCCCAGAATAAGCAGCGAGTCACCAGAAATGAGACAAAGGCAGAGAAGCAGTTGAGAGAGAGGGAGGATAGTTTCATTAATAATCAATAATACAATTGAAACGGCTCTTAACCTGCAAGCATTCTCCCACCAACTTGTGACCTCAGCATGCAAGTCATCCCCTGACGACACTGATGAAGTCTCTCTGCAGGTACCAGCTATGGGTGCCCAACCTCCAGCACGTATACTGGCTATGGAGGTTGGCACCTGCCTGCCTTCAGCCTCCTGGTATGAACAGCAGCTCCAGTATCACCAACGCACCAGGTAAGGCAAGGTAAGCTTCCCACACTCTCTCACTCTCTTCTCACAGTCCTGATCACCCTCTTCCTCATCCTACCTCTAAGCTACAGCTATGGCGCTCAGGTGCGCTTCCTAGCTATGGCTACTCTCTCTCTCTTCCTTGCTGGGCTGGCACTGTCTTTCTCTCCCTGGCGCCAGTCTCCTCTCTTCCCTGCCCACCCAAGCAGCACTCTGGCGACCAATGCTGGCAAGGCAGAATGAATAAGCCGCTGTGGCAGGCAACTCTTTTGTAGAGTTGAGCGGTCTAGGCCTGCCTCAGTTTGCCTCCTTCGATGGGGGAGAGCTTTTTTATTTTTTTTAAATAGAAAAAACAGGTCATTATGGTCCTGGCTACTTGTCCATTCTGGGGAGCATCAATCTGGTTCCTATTCCCCCGGCAACTCAAAGTAACACATGATTTACACACTCACACCTCCTTCCATTTGGCCGAAGGATCTCTGACCAGCATTGATTACTCCTTAGTGAGGAGGATTGACTGTCAGCTTGCCCTTCTCAACTGTTCCTCTCAGGTTCCTCCTTCAGGCTTGTCTGCCAGGGCTTGGCTTAACGAGAATCGTGAGAAGTTCTGCTTCCATGTTGATCCTGATTGAGATCCGACCTCCCTGTACGTGTTAATGCTTCCCTATCATTTTTTATTTTTATTTTTTTTTAACAGAATGCAAGGAAAATAAGCAACAGCGAGATGCCAATTCCAGATTACACCATCACATTGAAAGCCAGATAGTCACACCGTGTCCAGAGAGCAGCATTGCACCAATAATACACCAATGGAGGTTCGTAGTACTGAAAACCAATGTCATGGAGAGCATACTCTCTCCTCATCAACACAAGAGTCCAGTCCCTTCACTCTCCTACTTAGCGCTCAGCGCCAAGCCCCTTCCCAACACAGCTACTACAGCCTACTAATTGACAATGCAACTGTTGACATCAGCAGCAACCCGAAGTACTTGAAGATGTCGCCCATGCAGACCCTCGCCAATACAAGGTAAGTGCCCTCACATCATCATCATCATCATCCTTCACCTATCCCCTGACTTTCCTCCCACGTCTGTCCTCTCTTGCACCCGAAGACCACCCCTGCGCCTCACTGTAGACCAAGCCCACCAGCTATGGTGGATGGGCCATGGCGCTGCCCTTAGCAGCGCCCTTCTTCCCTGCACGACCGCACGTGCTGCACCTCGCCTCTCAGCGCCAGCCAGCAGCCGCGAGCTCTTGCTTCAGCAGCGCTGCTGCTAGCACACGAGTGCCTGAATGAGGCTGCCAGCGGTGAGCTCTTTCCTTTATGGAAAGAACTGGCCTGCTCGCGCAGCCTGGCTGCACTGGCCTGGGCCCAGAAGCTTCCGGAAGGCCCCAGGAGGCTGCCTGTGTACAGCAGCTACTGGGCTGCTGGGCCTGGTTCGGTTGGGCGCCCAACTGTCTCTGTATGAGGCTGCGAATCACGCCCAGGGCCTGCATTCTTTGGAAAGGCCCGGAAGGCCGTGGAAATGTCTTTGTTGCCCGGCCTGAGTTTCTCTCAACCAACTGGCGCGTCGCAACTGCCTGGACCCCAAATATGAAATTGACAGTCCAGGGCCTCTTGCGATATGTCAGGCCCGCCTTCACTTAGGGCGGGCAGCTCCGCCTTCACTTAGGGCGGGCAATGCTGCAAACAGGGCCCCATAGGCCTGCCGAGGACCCTGATCCTCGCATTCCCTCCTCCTTTACTTCGTGAGTCCTCTGAGAAGTCTCTTATTCTGCAGGCATCTTCCCCTTGAGTGCTCTTTCGTAGCCTGCAATCACTTGAGGTGCTGTTCTCATGAGTTCTTCTCGTGTGAACCAGCGATCTTCCTTAGGATCCAGATGATGTTTGAAGCTCACACGGTACTGCATTCTCGGTTTAGGAGGGCGCCCTCTGCCAGATGGTCAAGGAACAGGCATCACTCGATGCTCAACGATCTGGTCCACGTCCACTTCGCCATCCATGGTCGGGGGCAGCATTGATCTTCTGGAGGGAAACTGCTCAGTGGCAGCAAAAGGTGCTAACTTGGAGGCATGGAACACAGGGTAGGTACGTAAGTGAGGTGGGATGCAGATTACATATGAAGGACCGTCTGGTTGATCTCCTACAATGTCTAAGATCTCCCAGGGCCCAAAGTACTGTGGCATTAGCTTGCGGGATATGCCTAACTCCTGACCAAGCTCAACGGACTTAATCCAGACTCTCTCGCCTACCTGAAAGTTAGAAGGCCGTCTACGCTTATTCTCAGATGCAATCATTGCTTCCTGAGATTTCCTGATATGTTCAACGGCCTGCTGCAGCATCTGTTCATACTTGACAGCAAACTCTATGCTGTCGGGTGCTGCAGTGGGTTCTCTTTCTGGTAGCAGAACGTCAAGGGCGGTTCGCGGCTTCCAACCAAGATGCAGTTGGTTGGGAATCATGCCTGTAGTACTATGCACAACGTTATTGTACAGGCTGGCAACGAGAGGTAGTTTCGCGTCCCAGTCGTCCTGACTTGGCTTGATATAGTGCCTAAGCAGGTGCTCTACTACTCGGTTCATCTGTTCCGCTTGACCATTTGACTCTGGATGATTCCCTGAAGTCATTTGGAGTTTTGTGCGCATTTGTTCAACAGTAGACTGCCACTGTTCGTTCGTGAATCTTACATCCCTGTCACTAACAATAGACGTAGGTAGACCAAAATCCCTTACCCAGTTGTCCATGAAGAGTTTGATGACAAAGTCAGTTTTAGCAGTTTCAGGCATAGCAATTAGTCTTGCATACTTTGTAAAGCGATCCACTATAACAAAGGTGTGTCTTTTTCCAGACCTGCTGGTCACCAGGGTATCGATGAAATCCATGGACACACTTTGGCCTGGTCCTTCAGGGATCGGCAAGGGCTTGATCAGCCCAAGCGGAGCCCGAGTCCTTGGTTTGTCCCTTTGACAAACCTGGCAGGTTTCAACATAGCGTTTCACATCTTCCATCATAGAAGGCCACCAGAATCTATGCACTAAGTTCGCTGATGTCTTCCTATAGCCAAAATGACCAGTTGCATCATGACATTCTCCTAAAAATAAACTACGCAAAGACTCACTATTAGCAGCACATAGTCTTTTATTCCCTGCCTTCTCGAGAAACAGCAAGCCATCTACCATCGTAAATTCGTCCAAAAATATTTTTGTCCTTTGCTTGGAATCTACGTATGATCTCTGACATAACTGGATCTCCCTGATAGGCTTCCACCAGCGATCGAGTGAGTTCGTCAGATATGCCGAACTAAGTGATTAGCGCGCCTAAATAATCTGCCCTTCGTGATAGTGCATCAGCCACTTTGTTATACGTACCCTTGGATCAAGTTGATAGTCATACATGTCTATCACTTGAATCCATCTTTTGAGTGCGTCAGATAGTACAAGTTGTGTCTTAATCCAGCACAAAGTCTCATAGTCAGACCTCACATAGAAGAATCTTCCTAGGAGGTAGTGTCTCCAATGAACTAGCGCTCTGTACAGGGCGTAGAGCTCTCTCTCATATCAGGACTTAGC